AAGCCGTTCCTTATGTAGTAGATTGATAGATTTATTAAAGTTTTCTTTGAGCTAATGTTTAGTGGCAAACATGATTACAATTAGAATTAGAGCAATTACAAAACTATTACAAATATTTACAATTAGAATTATAGGCTGATATCCTAGTTGTAATTAATTTCTAGTTATCTCTAAATTTACTTGTATTTTTTCTAACACTTCTTCACTACACTGCTCCCCCCTCCTCCTCCCCCCTCACTGCAGTACACTAGACTTCACTTCACTGTATATGTGACGTGATATGGCTATAATGGATATAATTCAATAATATGATAAAGTAAAATATTTAGGGATAACAGTTCATTATTTTTTCTTTCCTTTAAATTATTTGACCTAAGATATCTCACTATTTCAGTGCCTTTCTACAACCATTTTAAATCATTCTTTCGTTCCGGTTTAATTGGTGCGTAGTGTTGGAGTAATTCGTGTTTTTGGACTCCTAGACGGAAGATATCACATGCGTTGCATGGTTTGCTTTAATGTTCCGCAAAGGAAAATAACTTATATGTTGTAGCGTGTTTGTTTTTTCATCTTTCAATCCTGTTCGTACCTTTCTGTTCAGAATTTTAAAGTTTCGTAAATAAACGGTTTGAAACGATTCCCCATATATATTCTTCTTATTATTATTATTATTTTTAAAAAATGTTCATTAAAACAATTTTAATATTCCTGAGATATTTCTGTGTAGATGTTTTGCTCGTATGTTCATTAGACTATTCTATAGCGTTTATCCCCTTTGGCTACGTGCGGACTCAGTCCCCCGCGACTGCTTATTTTTCAAAAAATGGGCGTGTACTGTTTATAACCCAAAGAAAATGTGAATTACATGTTGTGCTTCCCATTTGAAGTTAAAACATTATTTGAAATTGAAGTTCATAATACTGTGGTTATTTCCAATAAAACACAATCTATCTTAAATTATGCGAACAACTTTATACAACTCTTAACTCTACAAAGCAAAATCCCCTCCCGGTAAAAACTTAAGAACACAACTCTCCAAAAGGAAAAAGAACAGGAACAAAACATTACGCCACTGTTGTAGGTAATAAGTGATACACTTCAACAAACAAAAAATTCCTCTGACAAAAAATCTAATTTTTAATGTATTAAACTTTCAATTGCTGATTTTGCTAAACATACGTTATTGGACTTTGGTCTTTGTAATTATATGACGATTTCTTCTCATAAAGTCTCATTATAGGCGGATGCACAGCGTGTGTCACTTCGATGTGTAAGTAATGTTGTTTTTTGTTTTTTGCAGAGGAGTTGGTAGAAGCCCAACAATCGTTGAAGCAAAGTCATAACGAAGCCGCCCAACTAAAAGACAAGTTAATTCAGTTAGAAAAAGACTCAGACTTGAGAAATAGTTCCGCACTTGATCAACTGAAACAACAATGTTCTTCTCTGCAAGAGGAGGCTGCTCAGTAAGTATTAACTTTGGTTGCGAAGCAAAATTAAAATTAACGAGAGACCATTGGATATTTTTATGCATTATACAGATTCTCATGAGGTTTTAGCTTGAAGTGAAGCCATATTTCTTCTCCCCATCGTTCGTTCTCATTATTTTATTCCATCCTTTTTCTTCTATCAGAAAATGTTAAAAAAAAGTATTAGTCAAAATAAACGAAAAATGCAAAACGTCATAAAAATGGGTCACGTCCATTTGTCATGACGTATAATTAATTACTATACTAAAAGGCATTGTTCTAAAGAGAAAAGAAGACCATTCATTAAAATCCGCCTCCTAGTAATGATACGTGAACTGTCTTTAGTGAATTGTGAGCCCATCATGTTCTTGCAATTGCTCTTTCAATTAACGCACTACAGTTCGCATTGCACATTCTCATTGGCGGTCACCACTCCTAGCAGGGGCCTCATTCCCAACCCTTCTGAGCTTGCAGGATTTGCACTCAAGTTGCTCGCGCGCGACGCAGAACTGATCTACAGTCTTCTTCCCCATCATCCCCTCTGTCTTTGTGGTTTGAGTACCTATCGGTTTGATCAAGAAGACGGAGGACATTCATGCTCTGAGGTACAAAACCGACTTTCAGACCTTATGCATTCAGGTACTTGTACCGTCCTTTTCGCTCACGGTGCGCAAATATACATTCCTCCTGGTCAAGTCGCAACAAGAGCTTGAATATGTGTTTTCGCAGTTGCCCGTCCCTTTTCTTATTGTGGAGGACTTAAATGCTCACTATCCCACCTGGGGTTGCACAAGGACCTGCCCTAGAGCTACTGTACTTGAAATTACCATGGGCAAACAGAACATAATAGAATACAATTTTTCTATATACTGGCAAAACATACATTTTCCGTGCCTTCAAACACTTTCTCGTCCATAAATCTGCTCTCTGCAGTCCATCGCTCTCTACCATCGTTGAGTTGGCTGTCCTTAACGACCTGCATGTCAGTGACCACTTCCCCATTCTTTTTAATTGCGATATTCCCGACCTAAACGTTGCCCGTCCTCGCTGACTAATCCACCTAGATCTCCAACTCGAGAACGATATACAGATATCGGAAAACTGCCCAAACGATATTGATGCTCTGGTTGCCCTTTTCACTAATGCCGTTCTTCATGCGGCCTCAAGTCGTCGGATCACCCACACATCCTCCCATGCCTTGGTGGAATGCCAACTATGCCACCACGGTGCGTGATTGGAAACGGGCATTGGCCAAGCTTAGTAGGTTCCCAACCATAGATAATCTGATAAATTATAAAAGATCCTGAACCAGAACAAGATTGGTCATACGGGAAAGTAGGCCACGTCCTGGAAAGCCTACATTTCATCACTCTTCCGTACACCCCCTAAAGTAGTTTGGCGAAAGGTTTGACAGCTCGGACGATGACTTCCTTCACAGTCTCGGGGCTTCTGGTAAATGGACATCTTTTCACCTCACTACAAGACAATTGAATTACGAGAGGTCTCTCACTACGAGTAAGTCACAGGACATCGTATGCACTCAGACCATCGTTACCCCATCCTCCTGTCTCTCCTGTCGGTATCTGTCTCTATACGCTTTTACGGAAACTGGATATAAACTCCCCCATCCCTGTGAACCCTCCCCCCTATGAATTCTTGTTCCCCCTTGGAAACTTCTCCGGCCTATAATACACTTGAGATTTTCAAACTTCCCCAACTTTTTCAAACTTCTCCAGTACATTTCTGGCGGAAATCCAGGAGACGAAATCCATGTATCCCGGCTATAACTTCCTACTTTACCATTTTGGGAGGAACAATAGGTGTATATATGTGCCTTCTACTGCCATAGTGGCACACGAAATCTTCGAAGTCTCTTCGTGCGGTGTTTATACTGCAGGAAAATATGCGCACTTGGTGGCATTTATGTACGCTGAATCGATGACATTAAAGGAAACGGTGATCTGTAAAGCAGTGATTCAAAAATTTCGCTCGAATCTCTCCTGCTTCTCATCTTGTGACCCTCTTACAGGGATCACCCAACACCAAATCCATTATTTATTGGTTTGCTGTTATAATATTTTTATTGGCTGGTTTTGCTGGCCACGTTGGAATAATAGGGAACGAAATTGCTGTAGGCAGCAAAGCTCGCCACGAAGAAAACTGAGGTAGATATCCTCACAGTCCCATCAAATGATACCAAGTTTATGAAACGTTGTATTATCAGTGCATGGCTAACAGAGTAGAAGAACTCGGATTTTAAGCTTACATGAATCAAGGATTTCATAAATCCTTGGTCTTTCTCATCTCGTGACTCTTGGCGCGAGATTATTATACTGTCACGCCTTCGGATCGGTCACTGCCATTTCTCCCGCTTCCATCTTCTCCGTGGAGACCCACCCCCTACTTGTGATAGTTGAGAGACGAATCTTACCGCGGAGAATGATCTCCTGCACTGTTCTAAGGTAAGTGTTCAATGTCGCGATCGCTACGAGTACTCCTAAGTGCCTTTCGCCCGCGCGGCCACAGGCTTTCAGGCAATTCTTCTCCGCCACCCTCAGAAACGTCTCCCACGATGTCCAGAGCGCATCGAAAGCTTGCGTGGGCAATCAAGTAATGCATGCAGAATGTGTCTTCGCGTGGTGCGTCTCTCTCGGCACCAGCACCCCCGTCGAAGCACGTAGGAACAATGGGGGAAAAGGGCAATGAAGCAATTGCAGGGCGTCATTAGCTTTTTCCCCGAAGCGCGGGCGCGCCGTCGGCCCTTTCACGCCCTAGCACAGTTGCCTGCCAAATGTTTACAAACATTTCTGAAACGTGCCTCTCTCACCAATACATTACTCAAAGCATCTCTTCGACAAACACAGCTGCTTGCGGACACGACCGCGCCGCCGCCCCCACCCCCGCCTTCTCAAAATGAAATGAAATGGTTCAAATTTTCACAAGACATTATTATTTAATGTGATATTTTCCACACGGGGCGGGCCGCCGTGGCGCGCCACTACTACAATACCCTACGCTACTGCGATCGGCCGGTCTATCAGCAGTTTCTAGAATCGTGATTTGAGTGTGATCTGTTAGCAAGTATAATGAATGAGAAATAACTAGGAGCTCAAATAAGTACAGCAACCATAGAATCAACAAACTGTAAAAATTCTGCCCTGAGTGGCGCTACGCGTCCTTAAAATGCACATTGATGACAACCATTTCGCGCGTTGTGTCATCGGTTCACCGGGAACGGTGTTTCTGCCAAAGAATGTGGTCTGAGAAAGCGCGCCGAATTATTTCCAAATTCAATAAATTACTGAGAAAAAAATAAGAGGCATTTTTTTCTTTATGCCGCTTGTACATTAATGAGTGAAGTATCTCAGAATTGGCTACTTTTTAGGAAAATCGTTTTTGTATTCGTTTATTGATGTGCTGATTTAATGAAATGTTCTGAAATTTATTTGTAAGCTTATTTTTCTTACTTGTCATGTGTTATGAATGTGATAGTGTTGTACACTATATTTTTTAATGAATTTTGTGTATTTATAGGCTGAGATTCGAACACTGGCAGTTAATACAACGTACCACTGAACTTACTGCATCCAATGAGAGCCTTCAGAATGAATGCGAAAGGTTATCTCAAGGATTTGGTGGCAGAACTGTTGTTAAAGACCTTGAAGATTTGCAAGAAAAATGTAAGGAAGCTGACAAAATGGTAAGTACAAAACATTCCGAAATAGAATAATTGTCATCCGTTGGGAATTATATTTTTTGTAATGATATGTAGTAATTTAAATTGTCTTTGTAAATGTGAGTAATTTTCTTTCACATTTGACATTAGATTATTCCTAAATATCATTGCTTAAAATGCTTATTGCCCTTGTAGCTGCATATTCTTGTTGTGGAAGTAATTAACGAAACGAGTTTCGAAAAAAAATTCATTTTACGTTCTTGTGTACTGCGTATAACGGAAAGACATGCATTACTTCTGTATATCGTAACAATACCTTGACAAAAAATTAAACAAGTTTTGTGGTTTCCAGTTATTGAGGAAGTGTGTACCATTTTTCGTGTATCTTACTTTCTTCTTTTCTCAGTTTAGTAAAAAAATCACATTTTCCCTGATAACGAATTCACATTCGTCCCTGAACGATTTCTCATTCGTCCCTGATAACGAAATAGTTTTTTTCCCTCAAAACGTGTTTCCGTTCGCCTAAACCGTACACAGAACATTCACCAAAATGTATCCCCAATTGATCTCCCTCATGTCGCAGCGTCTCAAATTTGGAACTGATCTTTTAATTTCTAATGCTACATGAAGCCCTAAGGACATTTTCAATTTTTTTCACAAATGAGATTTTTTTAAAACTTCAATTGTTTACAAAAATACAGCAACGTTTATAAAATAGAGAGCTTGAGGTACAATAGTGTACGTTAATAGAAATCGCTCCAATTAAATTTCCTCTAAAACGTTTTCATTTTCGAAAATTGCAAAATGTTTACTTTTTCTCCAGCCCTCACTCATGTAGTTCTGTACTTCAGAGGTAAAACACACCATTGTCTAACATTGGCAAAACTAGTAACGCGATTATTTTTATTTTCCATTTCATTTTCTTCGTTGAGTTAATCTGGCATGTCATATAATAATTTTTGATTTCGATTTTTTTACTAAATTAAGGAACATGGTGTTTTTTACCTCTGGCTCAAAACGATTTGATTTGAACATTGGACTGCATTGTTTTGTAAAATAAAAATAGGGGATGGACAAAATAATATGAACACAATTCAATAGAGTACACCTTTTTGCATGTTGGTGCCATTGCGGACGTGTAAATTCTGCGACGCGGCTGCATTGTACAGTTGACGCGCCACGTTTTGAAGGTTATATTGCAGTGTATAATAGGCTTTGTCTGCGATGGTGAACACACGCAATCTGTGAAATGCGTGATCTCTCAGACTTCGATAGAGGGGAAAATCGTTTGTGCGCGGTTAGCGGGAGTATCTGTGACGAAAACAGCTTAACTGTTTAAGGTATCACGAGCAACAGTTTCCACGGTAATGACAGCGTACACAAAACATAGTAAACCATTATCCGCGAAGAGGAATAGTGAGGCGGAATCCGAAGTTAACTGGCAGACCGTCAAACATTGAAAGCATTGTGGCCAGACAACGTAAAACTACCGTGGCAAAAGCGATTGCAGAACTCAACACTCACTTCAGTAATACTGTTTCGACAAAACAGTACGACGGGAGCTTCGCAATGCTAACATACATGGAAGAGCTGCACCAGCTGACCAGCACAAACGTCAGACCTCTACATAATTGAAACGTTATGGAGGTGTTTAAGGCTAAATGCACCGAAAAATACTTGTAGGAAAGTTCAATAGATCGCAGCACTGTCACAGGGAAATTTACTGTACCGATAAATTGTAAACCAATGGTCCGATTTTCTAGCTGTAAAAATGTGGGTTTCCTGAATCCAACGCCGTATCAATCATGTTGATTGGATGAATAGGAGCATCGTAAAGTGAAATTTCGAAAAACCTCTCGCCCCCTCCCCTTTCACCCGAGGCGAAATCCCCCCATTGACGGCCCTCTCTCGGCGCGGCGGCACGGCCAGCCCCGGGTCGGAACTCCCGGCAGAGGAGGCCAAACTTGGGAGACCAGGCAGTCGGTTTATGCTTTCGTCACTCTACATCTCAATATATTTTTCCCCACAAATCAAACTAGTGACGCTGTAACAAAAGCAAATGGTTTCGTATCATCTGCAATAGTAAAAAACTATATTGTTCACATATTTCCATCGTCCTTCGAATACCGTCATAAAATTGTTCCAGGCATTACTCAAAATATCGATTCCGATGTGGAACTGATTTCAAAAAGCAAATTCAACTAATTGTGTAAATATCACCAATATTCCATCGCCTCACATCTTATTTTACATATACTTGTTTTACTTCGAAGATCTTCCGTTATCATTCCACTACTGGAAAAATGAGCAGATGTTACGCACGAGCACTTTTATCCTGCAACTCGATTTTTGGTCCCAAAACGGCGTTTGCCTCCTTGATAGAATTCACTTTGTAATTATCTTTTCGCAAGTAAAATAGATGAAGCTAATTTTAAAAATGTTTCCGTACTTTCGGTTAAATTCTTTATGCTACGCTTTCAGAATTCTTTTAAATTCAGTCAACCTACACACTGCTCGTTTTGTATATTTCGCGAATGTTCGTTCCCTCCTGCAATATGGCATAGTATTCTGGGGAAATACATCTTATAGCTCCCAGACTTTAAGATTACAAAAAAAATTGTACGAATAATAAGCAAATCCCACCCATGTGATTCTTGTAAGCATCTCTTTATTAATCTAGGTATATTACCATTAGCTTGTCTCTTCATATATGAATCAGTGTTTTTTGTGAAAAATGACTTAAGAGCGGGAATATATTTTCAGCAAACGCCCTTGTCTATAACTACAATACTCGACGTAGCAATCATATTCATCAGGTGACAGTATCACAGCTCACTAAAAAAATTCACATATAATAAAAAAAATTATCCATATATAAAGTTCCCAGTAAAATTTATCTGCTATACAACTGTTTCTATACAATATAAACTATACCGAGCATCCAAATGGAAAGTAATATTAATTTTAACAATTACATTTAATGTATTATATACCATTTGGATTGTATACTTGTAAAAAACCTCTAACAAGTATTGTACGTCAGCTTCTGGGTCAATGACCTCCATCTCGATCAGGTTTTCGTCCAGTTTCCCTGATCCTCGAGCAAATGCTGAGATGGCCTCTTTTGCTTCTGGGCATAAATGTGACTTCAAATTAACTCCCCATAGCAGTTTATATTAATTTTAAGAGCATATAATGTAATATTTATCATTTGCACTGAATAATTTTAAAGAACCTGTAACAATTATTGTACTTCAGCTTTTGAGTAAATTACCACCATCTCGATCAAGTTTTTATCTATTTTCCCTGATCCTTGAGCAAATGCTGTGATGGACCCTTGTTTTACTTCTGTACATACATGTAACTTCAAATGAAATCCTGCAAGGTTGGCGTTATCCTTGTAGCACGTCACGCATAGTTTTTAACTGTTTTTGACTTTAAAAAAATGTCTTTGCTCCCCTCCTAGTCCGAATCTCGGAGAGGATGATTCTGCGAGATCTTTTTCAAACAATGGCAGTATGTACACATGTAAGACTGTGAGTATCAAAAATATTTTTAAACGTAGGGGTAGCGCCTTATTGAAGAAAAACAAACGTAAAATGTATTTGCTCGTCCTTTTTATAGTTCATGAAACTGTTATCGTCACTTCAAAACCTGATTCTCCTACAATTACAACAATTGTGAATCTTCATCTTTTTATGTGAGGCCGGAAATCTCATTTATTCTGCGCGTCTGATTCTATCTGTCCACCACGGTTGTGAAACCACTGTGTAGATTGTTGTACCGAGGTACGACAGTCGCGACGACAGTCGTTCCTTTCACCGTCACCCCCGCCCCCGCAAAGAGGGTAAATTTCGCTTTTCCGATATTTTAGCGAAATTTAGCAGTTCCGGTATTATGTGGTATCTGAAGAGCAACAAAATTTATTATCGGGTACTACTGAGCAACAAAAGAGTTACAAATTCTATGTAATTATTTTTTTATCTTCGTAATTTCTTGGTTTTCTGGTACTTGCGGTGCTAACTTGATGTCCAGTTTGCCGTTTGTTTATAGCAGGGTCAAATGAAGATCGAAATTTTTTTTGCGTAACAAATTAGCAACAAAAAAAGGACAAATTTTGAGTTTAATTCCATTTTATTTTAACTTTACTATGCTAATTTTACGGACCTGGTGAGGAGGAGGTCCGGGAATTCCAAATCCGACGCGGCACTGGAACAGTGATTTGCAAATAGACAACTTTGCGAAAGCCCTTACCAAGTTCACTCATACTGATTGGCTGGCTTGCCCGTTGCCCTTTTTGCTTTATACTTCCCGCGCCATCGCGCTATAAGCACACATTTTTTAAAAATTTCTTCCCAGAACCATTCGAAAAAAAATATCCAAAACTCATTTTTCGATTGTTTTTAAAAGAGGCTTCGTAGCGCAAATTCTATATTACATACAAATCATATGTCGTTTAGTGATTGAAAATCGGGCCACATGTTCAGACGTTAGTAAAGTAATATTGGCTCTTTTTGGTTATGCTATGTAATGGCGACAAATTGAACTAGTGTCGGTACATTTAGCCTTAAAGCGGAGAGTGAGGAGCAGATTTCCAACTCAAACATCGTTGAAGCAATTCAAGGGTGTTTTGGTTCAAGAATGGTGTGACATTCCGTTAGAAACTATTCAGACACTACAAATCTACTCCGCGATGTATTGCAGCTCTTCTAAAAGCAAATGATGGCCCAATGCCTTATTAATAAATATTTTGTATTTGTCAGGTGTTCATATTATTTTGTCGAATATCTGTACATCACTCACAAGTATAGCTAGTCTCGTTGTGTCAGAATAGTTTGTGAATTCGCCGTTTTCTTTTCCTATCTAATACGTTTTTAATTTTATCAGCCTCCATGTGTGTATGTTCTTTTAGAAGGAAACGATGATTAATATATTTAATGTCGGGTTATTTACTTACAATGATAAAGTTGACTAAAAGATTTTGATTTTTTCTATACTGCGATCTTTTCACACAAGTATTGTAG